TTTTAAAATTAAAATTTTATTTAGAGTATTTTAACCAATCTCTTTTAGCATTTTTTTAGTGTAATTATAAAAAATTAATCAAATAATAAAAATATTTTATTTAAATTAAAATTTATAAAAAATTTACAAAGAATATTTTAGTCAATTATTTTTAATTCTTTTGGTATTAACATTTCAAAATTTTAAAATTTTAACTAGTTTCATTTCATACAAATTCTATTTTAATTTTTAGTTAATTTATTTTAAACTTGAATAAATTAATAAAAATTATATATTTAAGGGTAAATTTGTTAAATTAAAAATTCAAAGGGGTATTTAAGTCCTTTTTGTTTGCTTAGGGTAAATTTCAATCGGTGCTTACATTTTGCCAATTTAAAACTTAAATTTCTTTTATTTAAAAATTTTATTATATAAAACTATTACAATACATAATTCTAAAAATTAAAATAAAATAAAAGAATTTAATTAATTTCTCTTTTGAATTATTTCAAGGAATTAAAACAATTTAATTATATTATCAATGATCAACTAATCAACTCCTAAAATATACAAACAATAAAATCATTAATATATATATATAATTAGAAAATCAATTAAAAAAAATTAAAAGGAAAAATTAGGGAAAACATAAATTTCAATGCCTTTATTAGAAAAAAAAAGAGTCTAATAATAAAAAGGAAAATTCATTTAAATTAAATTTATAAAAATTTTACTATGGTACTTTAATAAAAAAGTTTAACATTTTTTGAATTAAAATTTTATTAAGAATATTTTAATCAATCACTTTAAATATTTTCTTAGTGTAATTATAAAAAAGTCTAATAATAAAAAATTTTATTTAAATTAAAATTTATAAAAAATTTTATTTAAATTAATTTATAAAAATTTTTAATAAGAATATTTTAGTCAATTATTATTAATACTTTGGTATTAAAATTTCAAATTTTCAAAATTTTACGTAGTTTAATTTCACATAAATTCTATTTTAAATTTTAGTTAATTTATTTTAAATTTAAATAAATTAATAAAAATTATATATTTAAGGATAAATTTATTAATTAAAAAATTTATAGAGGTATTTTGGTTAATCACTTTTAACACTTTTAGAGTTTGCATTTATATATATATATATATAGCAACAGAAAACCAGAAAATTTACTTCATATTGAAATAGGTTTTTTGGCTCTTGGTTAAGCTTGGCAAGATTGAGGATTTAGACAAGTTCTTGGAAAAATAGCAGTATGACTAAAAAATGTTTTAAAACAATGGTAAAAAAGTTTGCTAACCCATTATCAAATCCAAGCATTTGCTTCGTGCCTGGTAGTATTTGTTAATTGTTACTACTGTCTCCACAACTTCAATAGGTAAAGAAAAAGAAATACAAAATAAAACCAACTTACAGTTTAGGTTTATTCGAGCATTTGGTTTAGTGATTATTGTTTAATCATGTTCAAATTTCCTTCTCTAAATAAATAAATAAATATATATATATATATAACAACAACATACAGCTCAGGTATGCAGCCGTCCCAGTTGGTGAATGCTCTGATTTCTCCTCCAAAACTATTGTTAGAATCTGCAGCAATACCAAATAAAATTCAATCACTTTTGTTTTTTCTTTTTCAGTATGAATCAAAGGAACAACACCTTGCATTTACTCTGCTATTTATCTGCAGTTACACTTATAAGGTGCATTGGCCAATGATACTAACAATGCAGACAAATGGATTTAAGCAGTAGCAGCATAAGCAAGAGAAAGATTAAGGGACTGCTTAGAGTGAAATGGAAATGGCATAAAATTATAGTCTTGATGAGACGGGGAATGAGTTCATAAGGGGATATGTAGAACTTACCCGGTTCTGAAACTATTGGTTCAACGTGTCAATTATCATTACCCAAGAACATTTGGCCATAAAACTAATGGTGAAAATGATATTTATGCCTTAAAACAGGGGAAAATGATATATAAAGAAAACTGGTAGTGTATATATAGTGATTCTGGGTGATACAAAAAATGGAAGCATAACTTGATAGCGTTAAAAGTTGCCATGTATTTTCCTTGTCAGAGGCAGGCTTTATAGAAAGAGAATATAATATAGTAAGCAGTGAGGCAACGAATAGATGCAAAATAATTTAAACAAAATAACACACTTGACTTCCACAACCAGACGTCATGGGGATTAAATATGTCGAAATTACGGCCCTAAGTCAGAATTTCTGTTAATCTTTTCAAAACTAAACATGATACACGTGTTCACGTGTAACGTGTTAAATCGGAAAACATATTTAAAAAAATAAAAATAAAAGTAGGAGAGATTACTTTATTTTCAAGGACAATGTAAATCATTAAACCGCAAGGGAGATTTATAAATCTTTTAAGATTTTTCAAACTTATAAATTACTTATCAATAAAAGATTATAAAGATTTGAATCTAAGTATTTTACATTAAGGTCATAAATTCTTTCAATCCATACGTGAGATCAATTTAATTTAATAAAAAAAAAATAACAATATGAAATTATCAAACCTAAAATAAAAAACAACTCAAATTGAAAATGATTCAAACTTCAAATAATTTATATCGTAAATGATCCAACTAAAAATGATTTGAACTAAAATTAAATATAATTTTATTTTTTAAAAAATAATTTAATAAAAATAATAAGTATAACAAAAATTATTAATTTATTTTAATTGTGTAACTTTAAATTATCTTTTAAAATGTTTTCTTTACTATTACAATTTTATATCATTTTAAATATTATCCTTCTTAATTATAATCAAAAAATGAAAAAAAATTATTTATTTTTATAATTGAATTGAATTTTTATGTTTATTAGTATATATTTAAATAAAATTAGGTATATTACATATATGAATTGGCCATATATATAAATATATTATAATTTCACACACACACATACATATATATATATATATGTACACCAACACACACACTTCATAGTGGATGGTAGTCTATTAATATTGGATGATATATGTATATATATGTATGTACACCAACACACACACTTCATAGTGGATGGTAGTCTATTAATATTGGATGATATATGAAAAATATGACCTTTTAAAAGTTTGAAAATTTAAATTTATTCTGTATAAAATTGAAAATTGAGATGATTTTGAGTTAAAAGTGAGCCAATGGCTACAACAATGAAACATTAAGGCGATGTTTGATCAATATTTTATTTTTTACTTTTTGCTATTTTTTTTTATTTTTTATTGAAATTTTATTTATTTATTTTTTAAAAGGAACCAAAAAGAAAAGAGAAAAGCGTTTATCAAATGGAATTTAAATAAAAAGCATTTTAATTTAATACAAAAAGTAAAATTAAGTATTTTTCATTTATATAAGATATAAGAAATAATTTTAATTTAAAACATACAAATTATAATGTTTTATTTATTTTTCAAATATTATATATTTTTTTTGCTTCTTAAAATAAAATCTATACCTCTATATATTTTTATCTACATATCATTTACCTGCGCGCGTGACATGTGTACTTTTTGGAATAAAAAGGATATTACATAATATGTTTATAATGTTTGTGGCATTTTACAAACAAATACTAAAATCTAAAAAAAAAAGAAAAACCTAAAGAAAGAGAGAAAAAGTAGGTTCTGGAATGATGTAAAAAGGAGAAAAGGGATAAACAATAACGGATTTAAATGGTGTTGCGAGTGTCTATGGACACTGTCAAAAATTGAGAAATAAGAAACTTTAAAAGAAAATTTTGTGTTGGACATCTCAAAATTTTCTTATGGACATTTTAAAAATTAAATTTAAAGGAAAAATTTTTATGAACACTTCAAAAATTTCTTCTAGATACCCTTTTTCATGAATAAAATTAATAAATTTATTTATAATATTATAATATGTATATATATATATTATAAATGAATATCGTGATAAAAATCCTAAATCCCCTATTAAAGATAAAACAAGGGATCTGCAAATGGGGGAGAGGGAAAGAGAAGACTGATAAGAAAGGTACGCACCATTCTAGCTCCTTTGTTATAATAATAAAGATGGTTTAATAATAAAAATGCAACCTAAAAGACAAAGGAAAGTTCGCATCATTTAAAAATGTTTTAATATTTTTGTATAGTTTTTGGATATTTGGGTTCTGTCTAGTTTTAAAAGAAAAAAATGTATAGTTTTTGGAATGTTTTAAAATAATATGATAAGTTATTTGGGTTCTATCAGACTATTTGTATTGGTTTTCCAACAATTTTTTGGATTTTTTTAAAATACGAGTAAACGTAAAAATTGAGAAACTAACAAATTGATAAGTGGAGTGGTTGAAAATTTTCAGAGTTTACTAATGACTGTTTCATTAGATAGCAAGTGCAAGGCTAGGAAAAAAAAAAAAAAGAAGGAAAATGGAACGCAATAAGGATGATGCCATCGGAGCTAAAAGATGTTGCTGAGAAAATCATTGCGAAGGATATTAAGAGGGCTAAGAAATTTTCTTTGAAGGCCCAGAATTTGTATCTGGGCTTCAGCGTATTCTCCGAATGATAGCCATGCTTGAGATTCATATCTTATATGATTTGGAGTGGTTTGATTATATATTTTAATATTTAAAAAAAAAAAGGAAAAGAGTTTATTTTTTAATTCTGATAAAATTTGACATGATTAAATAATTTGTTTAAATTAAGTATGATTTTAAAAATTAATAAATTAAATCTAAAATGATAAATTTTAAATTTAAATGTCAAACTCAAATTATTTAATTTCAAAATAATTTAAAGAATTTGAAATAACTTGGATCTAAAATATTCAAAACGATATAAACTCAAAATTAACCCGAATTAATCCGACGGGAATTGATGTATATTTTTCTGCAGTAACTTTTTAACGGGAAAGATTATATACATTGCTGTTATAAAATGATCGCGTACTGCTGATCTCACATTTCAATTACAAAGTAACCAACCACCAGATCCCAAGTAGTTATCGTAGTCAACGGTTGACCTCCGCAGCTTATCAGCTATAAGTAGAAGCCGTCGTCTCCCTATCTTCTTCAGACCGATATTTATCCAAATTTATTTTTTCACCCGACATTTCCTAAACTCGTGTATTTTTCTTTTTTTAATTTTCCCGCTCCCTCCTTTTTTCCTGGAAAAATAATCTGGTAAGTCCTCCTAAGAACAAATCAAATAATTCAAAATTTTGGGAAATAAAATCTCTTTTGTTAAATGAACCAACTATTATTTTTATTATTATTATTCTTTCGATTTATGTCTTCTCTTTTTTATTTTGTTTTTGAGAACATCGATTTAGGATTAACAACTAATTTTCTCTGTTTTTTCTTTCAACAGATTTGATTCGACAAATGAAAGTTGGCGTAACTCAGTTTCTCACCAGATTTCTCTTTTTTTCTATAATTTTGAGGTATATAATTTTATTTTGAGTAATTATGAATATCTTTTATTTTAATTGATTCTTATGCTTTATTTTTTAAAAAATAATACTGTAGGTGTTGTTCAAGTAACGGAAGTGGTGAAAAGGAGAGAACTTTAGGTATAATAAAGCCAGATGGATTATCTGGTAATTATTCTGATAGAATCAAACAAGTAATTCTTGAATCCGGTTTCAACATCAATAAGGAAATGGTAATTCAACTTGATGAAGAAAATGCAGCGAATTTTTATGCTGAGCACTCTTCCAAGCCCTTCTTTACTAATCTTATCAAATACATGACTAGGTTATTACTTTTGTCTTAATTGTGTAGTTCTACTTCATGCCGTCTTTAAATTACCGCGATTTTGCAAATGTTGTGCATTTGTTTTCGCCTAATTTTGTTATTTCATAGACAAAGAATGTATGTATTTGTCACACTTTTTTATTGTCAAATACCTTAATCCAATTGGCTAATATATGACTAGGTTGTTGCTTTTTTCTTGATAAGTTTATGCATGCTGTCTTTAAATTATGTGATTATGCAAATGTTCTGCATTAGTTATTTTAACTACTTTTGTTATTTCATTGACAAAAAATGTATGTATTTTCACACTTTCATATCGTCAATGGCTTAATCCAATTAGTTGTGTAGAAAATATATCTGAAACACTGTCTTGCTATTTCGATGATAAATTCTCCATGCATTTTCAATTTGATACAACAAAAAAGAATATAGAAGAGGCAGAGATGTTGAGCATGTGAAAAAAAGCTTTTTCTTTTTTTTTTTTGTTAATACACTTCTTATGTTATTGCACTTGATTATCTGAATTGTCATGGCCTATTAGGGCCTGCTTTTTTGGTTTTGAATGTTTGATGTTATTATTATTTGTTGTTTTTTAATTTGTGAATCGAAGAGAAGTATTGATGCAGCATTTGCTTTAGTCTTGCCATAAGTTGCATATGATTGATCTCATATCTTGCTAATGTGTTTTTGTTAACTATTTATCATATCAACCTGTGGTAGCGTCTTACTCTGTTGCTACATAAATATTTCTATCTCCTTCACTGACATTTCATTTTTAACAGTGGTCCAGTGTTGGTTATGATTTTGGAAAAGGAAGATGCTGTTATTCATTGGCGAGAGTTAATTGGACCCACTGATGCTGGCAAGGCCAAAATTACTCATCCTCAAAGGTTATACATATATCTTGTTGATCTCGTACTTTGTTCTTATATTCCTATTCTTTGTGGGTTTTCTTGTATAATTACTTAAGCTTCAAAATTGGATGCATGTAAAGATGGAGATTAGTTGTCCTCCCATTATATTGCAAGATAAAGGTCCCTGCCTACTTTAAATTAGATCTTCTTTCCAAATGTTCATCCTAGAAGAAATTTGATTGGCTGATGACATGGCCTCTTAAGTGATCTGCCTTTCTGTTGGTTGTTTCTTCTGTTCCAGCCTCAGAGCAATGTGCGGGGTAGATATAGAAAAGAATTGTGTACATGGTTCAGATTCCCATCAGTCAGCTCAAAGGGAGATTGCATTTTTCTTCAAAGAGGCACCTTCAGGTCAGCTCTTGTTCCCCTTTTACAGTGAGTGTAATGATGGAAATATAACCTAGTCCATGCAGATCTATGATTTATAACTGAGATGGGATGATAACAAGCATATGATAATATGTAATAAGTAAGGAGTGAGCAAATATAACCTAGTATCAGTCATGATTTTGTTTCCATCTTATAGAAAATAGAAAGACTTCTAATGCATGTTTTGTAAAAAGGCTTTATGTATACTTTTGTTTTCATATTTCAGCTTTCAAAACTGAGGCAGTCAGAAAGCATGATGAACTGTAAGTGGTATGCGCTCAAAGCTGAAGCTATATATTATGGTTAACCTATTTTTAGATTCTCCTTTTGTCTGTGACTGCTTAGATTATAACATATAAAAACTTGACAGTTCTAAATTACACACTCTCTGTTGTATCTGGAAATTGGTTTAGTTTAGTTTGTAACTGAGCAACACTATAGGAACTAAATGTATACTGAGTGGATATTACAGTATGTATATTTTCTTCTGTTGTGAGCACGTTTTTATTTGAACTGCCAATCAAAAATTTTCTGATATCCTCACAAACCAAATAGAGAGTGAAGTTTTTGAAAGGGTTAATGTCATATTCGGCTTCTAAATTATAGTAAATTGTTTAATATGGTATATGTACTTTAAAAACGCTCAATGTGGTGTTTGTATTTTGATTCCATTTTTTTTTTAATACAAGACGTTGCAGCCTGAGCGTAGAAAAAGTAGTTGTATGTATTGGGATTTGAACTCTAAATTTGCTGGATGCTACTTAAAAATGATTTGTATGAACTATTAAGTTATCAGTTGTGCCCAGGCATATATAAATTTGCAATGGTTAAAGCCAATTCATAATATTAGGGGTATACAATGTCCAGCAGCATCATTCTCAAAACATTACATTCCTCTAACCACAACATTATTATAAGACAAAAGGGCAAGTGGGGAGGGATTGAAAGAAAAGAAAAACCGAATTCATCTGAATAGTTGAAAAGGAAGTTAATCAACAAGCAGGAAGCCAGATCTCAGTGTAGGCTAGCTGCATCTTAAGCCAAGTAAGAAGCCATTTGACCAATGTTATCCCAGTCCCATGGAGGCTCATAGTCAGACCCTTCGTGCTCCTTTGGAAGCTTGATCATGTGAAGATGTTTGCTTAGACCAAGATGAGCCATGAGGAGGGCAACATGAGTCAGCAGCTCTCCACCTTTCCCAAGCTGGTGCATATGCTCTTTCCAATCACAATCATATGCAGCAGAAAACAGCATCTCCATCCACACACTGCTAATCATTTCCCAGAGCTCCTCAGGATCCCACCTTGCATTCAAGGTGAAACACTGCAACTTCTTGGCAAGTTCACACCCTTTAAAGAATACTGATTTCCCAACTTCACCTTCCACCTCAGAGATGAAATTTCGAGATTCAATGTTCAGAACAAACAATATCATGGCAGCTTCACCCAAGTCTTTTATATTCATTTGCCGACCAAAAAAGTCCATAGCTTCGAAGCAGGTATCTCTGTATCTTAGCTTACTAATGCCACTACGAAGCATAAATGAACGCATAACAAGGAGGTGCATCATATAGTCAGATAATTTCTTACTAATTTGTGGGTATTTTCTTCCAGTACTGCCCGGATATCTTCTTCCATGATAATGGAAAAGAATATCCGTAGCAATATGCCAAAGGAGAAGGCTGTGGGTAAATTCTACCTTGTTTATGCTCCATTGAATTTCGTCATAGATATTATGGTTATCGTTAGAGCCTTTATCTCTGAGCACGTCGGAAGCTCCTTTCTTAGCCAAACGTGAGAGACATGAGAACTTGAACTGTCCTTGGTCATATTTTAGACGCTTTTGTTGGAGACGAGAGAAAATGAGATCCTTTAAATCAGCATCAACAAGGGCCCAAGTAGGACGCACATCCACCCAAGCATGCTGCTGCATGTTCCAGAAGATTTTTAAAATTCTTCTGGCATCCACTCTGTTACTGATGGCTGCATTAAACTTGTTTACCTTGGCCTTGATGCAATAATTTAAGAGGCTGTGCTGTGCCATGAATTTTACTCCCTGCATCGACCTTTGTAGCTCTAAATGAAAAACAATAAGCCGACAGACAAACTTAGGGAGGCGCCGCCAGTTCTCGGGAGAGGTCCACCAAAGCAATGCCCAATTGGAGAGTAAATGTGAAATGACCGCAATGCCATCAGCAAAAAATGCTCCGAACAGCAGCAAGTATGTTATGCAAATTTCGAGTTTAGAGTGATCCGCCTTATGAGTATTAGCGTATGAGAAGGCCAGTAATGCGACAGTGGAAGAAAGGAAGTATATGATGCGAAAGGTGAAACCCCGGTAAAATTGAAGTATGATAGTCTTGGTATAAAGAACATCGAACAAGAAATCTAGTTCGGCTGCTACCATTTGGAAGGCCTCTTCAGCTAACATGGATGTATTCAGGCTGAAGATGTAACTTAAGTTCTTATAAATCGTGATATCGATATCTGCAAAGAGTGGCACAAACATCATAAATGATAGATGTGCTCTATGGAGATGTCTACCTTGTGGAGTTGACTTCCGAGTTAAATGATCATCCAGGCGCTTCTCATTCTGATCACGTTGCCTGAAGCGTTTGGATCTAGACGATGTTTCGGGGTGAGCTCCTGATAACGCGGAATCTTTAAGTTGTTTGAATCCTGAGAACCTGAGAATCCAAAGCCTTTCCATACACTTCAAAAGTCCAGCTGCAATTATGGGCATGGCTATGTAAGCCAAGGCATTATCAGTTCCCCTTTCGAATCTCAGAACAATGTACGAAGCCATCCCAGATTGGATAATCAGGCCTAATGTGTATGTTCGCCACAATTTCTTTTCATCCAAAAATTGAGCTGCAATGGTTTCAGTGCTCCCAAGGTGCAAAAGAAGGAAGGGAGCCCAAAAAACTTGGAGTGCGTCAATCTTCCCATGTAATTGGCGCTTGAGAAGGGTAGTTAGTGCAGCAGTTGCCACCAAGTCTCCTGAGAAGTATCCTAGACTAGTAAGCAATGCAACCCAAGTTTTTCCTTTTCTATTCTTTATTACATATCCAAGTGCAATGAGGACTATATGTAGAGTGAGGCTAAGTAGAATGAGAGCATATAGCTGCAGTCTGCTCCAAAGTTCCTTAACGTCCGAGGAGCCCCTGATATGTGCTGTCCTCCTTGCAGCAAAACTACTGGCCTCCGTGATAATTAGGGCAAGAACAACTGAAAATTTGATGATGTTTTCAAATACATTATATTTATGTATTGTTTAAATATTGAATAATATATCAAACTATAACTAGTACTATAAAATTCTCACTCCTCCATTAATGGACTACTCACGAGCAGATAATCTTATTTCTTAAAATAGAATAGTTTTAAATTTAATTCCCAAAACGAGATACTTGGAACGCATGGAATCTACGTTGCAACGCACGTCAAAAAAAATTTACAAATCATACCAATATAAAAAAAATTTACAAATCATACCAATATAAAAAATTCACAATTTTTAGCAAGATGGAAGAACGGAAATCTTGTCTAAGGAGTTAGGGTTCTTTTTCTATCCATTCTCCTTTTCTAAAATGATTTTTCAAACATCTATAAAGAATGAAATATTTAAAATTTTGAACTATTTACTTTTACAAAAAAAAAAATTCATAAAATCCTAAAATCTAAAACCAAAACCTAAATTCATAGAGATTTGAGGTAGTAAAACAGAGAAGGGAAGGATCTCATAACATAATAATTTAAAAAAATATGAAGAGCACCTTTTGGTTGGAAAGTGAATGGGCAAGTAAATAACAAGAAAAGATGAATTTATTTTCGAAAATTCGCATCCAATTTATAAGATATTATTATTAAAAAGTTTTATAATTTTATCTCACAAAAATGGCTTCACAAATATAAATTTAGATTTTTACGTATATATTATAATATATAATTTTAATCTTATTATATGAGAGTAGGGTATCAAAAGCTTTGCCATAAAAATTTAACGTTTTCATCAAACCTAAACACAAAACTAACAAAGAATCAAGATCACAACAGATGTTATGATTCTAGAGATAACTTTTATCGTATAACACTTAGTTATCTCAAGACTTTAGATGTGATTCTCACAATGTAACACTTAATTTTTATTCGACTGGTGATTATTCTAATATTATTTGTAAAGATTTATTCTTAATCTAAGAGATTTATCTATTTTAACTTAAAAATCTTATAATTTTATCCCATAAAAGATATTTCATAATAATAAATTTAGATCTTTACATATATATTATTATAGATACACAAAATCTTTTGATATCTGAATAAAGAGAATATATTACCTATAATTATTATAATGCAATTAACCAATCATAATTTAACTTTATGCGGGACTTATCAAAAATTTACATGGAGCCCAAACTTTAAAGTGGTGGACCCCTACATAATCCTTAATTGATTAATTTTAGTATGGTAGAAAAGAGAATTGTACGTGAGGAGGGTTATTAGAGTAATATTATCTCATTTTTAATAAGTATATAATTTTTTATAATTTTATATTTAAGTTTGACACATTCACTTATAACTAATTGATTTTAAATTAAATATTTAATATAATATCAGACCCAAAATTTTTTTCTGTTATTCTTTTCAAATTTATCATGTGAGTCTAATAAATATATAATTTTTTATAATTTTATATTTAAATTAGACATATTCATTTATTACTAATTGATTTTAAATTAATTGCTTAACAAATGTCACGTTATTAGAGAAAATTGATAATTTTTTGTAGATCTCAAGAAACTTTGGAGAATTTTCAAGATTTAAATAATTATTTTTCGTTCAAATATTTGCTTTTTACTTTTCTTTGTTGATGTTCTTTTGTGTTGGCAAAAGAAAAAGGAAATTTTGATAGGAATATAGATATGGTTACAGGAAAGAAAAAGGGAGAAGGGAGGAACATGGGAAAAAACCTTGAAAGAAACAACAGTGGCATCAAAGTAATTTTGATTTATAAAATGCTGACATGAAACTTAGTAGTCTCAAATTACATGTTTTTAGGAATAAAGTTTAAAAATACCTCATTTTGAGAAATAATATTACAAACAATATTATTTGGGGGAAAAACTCAATTATATATTTGGGCAAAAAATTCAAAACTGGAGTCACAGATGCATCTCTGCGGGTGGTAAGAAAGGGTTTCATGAAATCTATATTGCAATCTATGTCTTATCACACTATGTCATGTTTCTTTTTCCCCAGTGGTTTGTGCCAATAACTGACTATAATTATGGGAACATACTGGTGGAGTCATAACAAAGGGCATTAAGGTACTCATTGGATGGCCTGGACAAAGCTTTGCAAAACGAGGAAGGAAGGTGGAATGGGGTTTCGGAGATGAAAGCTTTCAATCGGGCTCTCTTGGCAAAGCAAGGGTGGAGACTGCCACAGGACAAAACATCACTAGTCTACAGGGTTCTTAAGGCTAAATACTTCCCTCATTCTTCTTTTCTTGAAGCAAATATGGGACAATGCTCCTCTTATATGTGGAAAAGTATTTTTAAGGGTAGGGAAGTACTAAAGCTAGGTCTCCATTGGAG